CAGCTCCCTCTGCCAGGCAAAGCCTGAAAAATTCCTTTGGGAATGGGAAGTGTGAGAGGGCAGGGACAACAAATGATCTGGCTGGAACCAAGAGAATAACAACTGTGGGATGTGTTCCACTGGAGCAGCACTGGGAGCTGGGGCTCAGCAAGGCCTCCCTTTCCCAGGGGGACATGGATCCTATTCCATAAGGAGGTGGAGACCCACACCCCACAAACGATGGAAAACTGGATGGTACTTATCCAACAACGGGTTGGGTTGGAAGGGAACTTAAAGATGATAATTCCACCCCCTGCCATGGGCAGGGACACCTTCCACTAGCCCAGCTTGCTCCAACCTGGCCTTGGACACTTCCAGGGATCCAGGGGCAGCCACAGCTTCTTTGGGAATTCTATTCCAGGGCCTCTCCACCCTCACAGCCAACAATTCCTTCCCACTATCCCACCTAACCCTGCCTTCTGAGAGTAGGAAACCATTTCCCCTTGTCCTGTCTCTCCAGGCCCTTGTCCAAAATCCCTGTCCCTCCCTCCTTATCCAAGTCCTCCCTCACTCCTGCAGCCACCTCTGTTAGCAGACATGGAACATTCTGGAATTACACCTTTGGAATTACACCTGCAGAACTCCTGCTTTTGCCACCCAGCAGCTCCAAACCCACCTGGGAGGGAAAACACCACGTTGACACCACAGGAGGAGCAGCATTCCCTGGTTATTTCCAGGAGATTTATTTAATTACATCGGAATTAAATGCCACATCTCAGGGCTGATGTTTCCCAGCAGCTTCTGCTCAAACTTCCTGGTTCCTCTTTGCTCCCAGAGCAGAAGTGGAGCTGAAAGAACCCATGGAAACAGCACCATTAATTCTGCTTTCAAATTAATTGGGGTTTGATCAAAACCTCTGTGCCACACAACTTCAACTTCCTTCCTTCTCCCTTCGTTCTGTCTCTGATCAAGTACCCGCATATTTTACCTTCAATTTGCAATTTATTTTGCCTTTTATTCCTCCATGTCTCGAAAAAAGCCACGTTTCATTTTACAGTTGGGCTGCAAACTGGCAGGAGACCCCACACTTCTGCAGACTGAGTGTCCAAGGAGCACCAAATCCCTCAGGGGGAGCAGGAAAGGCGACTCTGCCGTCAGGAATTCCAAGCTCCGGCCAGTCCAGGTGTCCCACGTGGTGAATTCATCACTCACCTCAACCTTCTCACCTAAAATGGGCACAAACACCCTCCCAGTTCTGCATCTCACAGACTTTACCCAGCGTTCTGAATGACCCCACCAACATTCCCATCACCAACCCGTTGCCCAAATCCTCTCTCAGGGTGCTGGATATAACAGGAATTTCATATCCTGTTGTTTGTGCATTCAGGAAAAAAAATACTGGATGTTCAACACCCCAGACCTTCGTGTTAAGCAGGAAAATGAAACCACAGAGAAACCAAAGGATTATTAAACTCTATTTATTAACCTACTTTGGAGACTGTGAGGACCCAATTGTTGAGGGAAAACACTCTGGGATGAGCTGAGCTCTTTTTTAAACCTGCTGAAACAGTGGGTTTCATTTTAGAACTAGTTTTAGTTGACTTTAAAAAATTATTTAAAATTTTTAAAATAATCAGTTTTCACCCTGCTTTCCTCTAGTAAAGTTAATCCTGTAGTAGGATTGGTGTAGGGCTTTTTGCCTGAATTTCAGTGGGTAGGAATCCACTGCAGCCAACGAGAGGTGGAATTTGCACTTTGAGTGCTAAAAAAGTGAGGTTTGATGGCACATTAGTGAGAGAAAACAATATTCTGGGGTTAGTATTTCACAAGCCCCCAGTTCCCAGTAAAAGATTTAAACTAGAAATGTATATTAGAAGGAAGCAGAATATTCCTTATCCCTTCTCCCCCCAAATTGTTAAAGAGCTCTTCACTCATTTTGGATCAAATCTAAAATGCTCCGTTCAACATAACTGGAAATAAATATCAACAGATGAAAATTGTGACCTAAAATTAAGGAATATCAAAGTATTATCAGAGAGGTTAAAAAGTCCTATTTATTATAGGACTGAAAGAAACGATTCCTGAAACAAAACCTTGAGGAATGAGGTGCACAAATAAAAGGTGTTTGTGTTGGAGGGCTGGGTTGTTGTTGGNCCTTTACATCCCTGCCATTCACTGGTGTTTACAGAGGACACAAACCCACCTGGGATTCCAAGATTCTCCCAGCCTGGCCAGCTGAGGGGATCCTGGGAGCAGGATCTGTGCCTGTGCCCGGGGTGGAGCTGGCAGTGCCCGGAGGTGACTCCGCCGTTCCTCCCACCTTTCCCCTGACTCTCTTCTGGCCACCAGGGACTTTTTTAGTCCTGGCAGAGGTTCCCACAGCAGCTGCAGCCCTAATTACCCCAGGAGCTATCCCATGAATCACATTCCTCTGGAAATCCCTGCCCAAGAACTGTCCTCACTTTCATCTCCTCCGCTCCGACTGGCCCACTTGGAAGCTCCCGCATCCGGTGCCACACGCGCCGGGCAAGGAGCTCTTCCCGCTGCTCCGGGGGGTCCCAGAGCTCGGAATTCCTTCTGCTGCATCCCAACCTGCAAAGGGGAAAACCCACAACCGAACCCTGTTTGGTTTCCTCTGGCAAAGAGCACAGGTGGGTAAAGATTCCTGAAAGGAAAACCTGCCCTCGCGTGCCGGTCGCTTCAGGTCGCTCGGGGAAACTGCCGTAAAAACCAACTGAACACCTCTGGGTTTATCCCAACGTCGCAGAATTCCCAAATTTCCTGTTTTAATTCATCTCCCAAGTGTCTCTTGTCCTCTTCAGGAACAGCTGCTCAGCCAACCCTGCAAACTTCCTGCAATAAACTTCACTTTCTACACCTGAATTTTGGCACCGTTCCTGTGTCCGCCTGTTTTCCACCTCGGTCACAAAAACCCACCAACACACGGTCGGAGCTTTTCATTTGTCTGTAACTGTCTGATTTTGCCCTAAAAACTGACTTTTTTCATTCCTACCTCTGATTCCGGGCTTCATTCTGCCGAGCTTACCCTCTTTTTTCAGGAACTTTACCAGGATCTCCGAAGTTCTTTTCCTCCTTCCGTGTTGACACACTTGCAGATTTATGAGGGGCCTAAAAAACCCCCAAAAACCTGATTTTCCACCCTCTCACAGGTCTAACAAGTTCTTTCATTTTGATTCCCTACAAACCAGTCAGTAGAGCTGCATCAGCTGCTCGTTTCACTCCCAAGTTGTGCTATTTTTTTCTTCTCTTTCACGTTTTGCACACAATTTTCCCCCAAATTATCCTGAAGATTTATCCAGCAGTTGAGCTAATCCCTGAATTTTTTTTGCCTTTAATGAGATTTTATCAAAGTGTTTAAGTTGATCATGGGCAGGACAAGCAGCAGCAGTAAAAAAATGCTGAATGTTGTTATGAAACCAGTAATATTCAAACCTCATCTTAACAAGTCTTGGACGGAAATATAAAATATATTTAACAGAGGGTGGAAAAAAAAAGGGAAATAACACCTATACTCCATTCTGAGGGAAAAAAAAGGTAGGTTTTGAGACATCCCAGAATTATTTCTCTCTTTTTCTCCCCGTTTTCTACCTTCAAGCAGCTCCTTCCCCTTGCACACGTGGCTTTAAATCCCATTTTCTTCATTTCTTGTCCGAATTTCCCGGTTGAGCATCAACTTCCCACCTGAAATGCTGCTCAAAACAGATTTTAAGGATCTCAAAGCACAAACTGGTGTTGCAAAAAAATTGTATCGTTTCCCAGTGCTCATTTTTGCCCCTTTGCCACAGAATTCCTGGATCCCAGTGATTAACACTGGTCTAAATTCTCCTTACTGACCATCTTCCAGCTCTGCTGAGGGAAGGGAGAAGAGGGAAGGTTTAAGAAGGGAGTTTTCCCTGTGCCATTCCCAGATTTGCATACAAAGCAGGGAATGAGGAAGATGTTGCCCCAAACATGAAGGAATGTATTGTGTGGAGGCAGCAGGGACAAACAGGACCCCACTGAGCCACAAAGGGGTATTATAAGGCACAAAAAAACAACCAGCAGCTCCTTCCAGCAAGTGCTCAGCAATCCAGGGATTTTACACACACAGAATCCAGGAGGATTCCACATGGGATGAGTATCTTAATGTCCAGGAGCCTCCACGTGGAACCAGGTCGACGTGGGGCTGCAGGAGTCCTGTGGAAAACAAACAAGGGAAAAAGCCTCCAAGGATTCCTGTCAGCAACAGAAAAAAAACCCCCAAACAATTCCTGTTCAAAACAAACAAGAAATAAAAACGAGAAATAAAACAAACAAGAAATAACTTCCTGTTTAAAAACCGAGAAAAAACAACCAAACAATTCCTGTTAAAAAACAAACAGGGGGAAAAAAAAACAAACCCAAAAGCAAGTGAAGGATCCACAGCAAAACGTAAACTGGGGATGAAATCAACGGATTGCCCAAAATGTTGTTATTTAAACGGTTTTTAAAGCTGGATCAGGAAAGAACCGAGAGGTGAAAACACATCTCAGGCTCAACCAGGCCTCAGGAGTTCCTCTAAAGATTGTTTCCATATTTAATTTAATATTAAACCATGCGTAGAACTTCCTTTTCACGTAATTAACAACAAATTACTCTGAGCTTGGAGGAACACGTGAACTGTGTCCAAAAATGCAACACGAACTGATTACTCACAACGTTCATGTCTTTGTGCTTCAGCCTTAAAACCCAGAGTGCACAGGGAGAAATGGAGAATATTTTAATCTTCCAGGGATGGCACAGAGCAGCTCCCAGCACAGTAAGCAGGGCTCAGACAGCTTTTCCTGCTCCACTCCTTTAAGGATTCCAGGAGGGATTCCACACCCACTGTGTCAGCACGTGGAGAACAAAAACCTTAAATTTCAGTGACACAATCACATCCATTTTTAAAGCTGTTTGGTTTTCTTTTTTATATCCTAAAAGTATGATCTGCCCAGTGACCAGATTTTTTTTTTTGTTAAGAAAAAGCTGTACTTTGCAAAAATGTTATTTAAAATTTATTTCCAGTTTGATAAGATGCTCAAGATATTTATCCTGCAAAACATTTCCATTTATTTTTAGTTCCCAGACTCCCCAGCAACGTGCACATGAAAAGGGCAGAGGGACAACCAACAAGTTTTAAAGACTTAATTTTGATTTTGAACTCGGAATAAATTCCCCCCAACAGTTCATAGGGGGGCATTTTATACAACTTTAAATAATTAGAGCGTTGTTTCCTTCTGAAAAAACAAAGGGAAAAGCCTGTCTGTGCTCTCAGAAACTCCTTGTTTGAGAATATACTTATAAACTGTTTGTTTCCTTGACAAAAGTTCTTTTCCAAAGGTCTTCACCCGTTCCACGAAAACAAATTCCAGCCCAAACCTTCCTGCAGCCTCAGCCCAGGGGTCACCTTTGGTCACACCTGGAAAGGAGAATTTAAAACACAGCTAAAATAAAATTCACCCTCATCCCCAAGTCCTAAATGTCTTGTAAAGGTTTAAGATGTTAACTGTATGCAGTAAGTTCCCTCATGTTGGAATCAGAGCCACAGAACAATGAATATCTTGCCTGTGGCACACCCAAAACCAAAATTTGATGGTTCCAACAGCTAATTCATAATGAGGCCCTAAACCATCTCAAAAATATTACCCTGCTGCAGAACACCAGTGGCACTGTACTATAAGTTATAATTTTTACCTGAAGCTGGATCCAGCTGGACCTTTTCCTTTCACTCTCCCAACAGAATTCCTGCTTAGTTGTCACCCACATTCACGGCAGTTTATCCACAGACACAGGGGAAGCTTCATCTCTGTCCTGCACTGCAAAATATTTTGGTAAGACCGAGTTTTTCAGCAATTCTCATCTTTGATACCAAGTATCAAATCTTTCCAACAACTCTCAGGGATTTTTACAGCCCTGTCTTTTTGAGCCGGGGGAGGTGGAGCTGAGCGAGTGCCCCCAGGCCCCAGGGACTGCACAAAGGGCCAGGCAGGAATCTCAGCAGGGAATGAAGCCCAGTTTACCTGTGTGCTGCTTCACCTGATGGAAGCAGTGCCCCGGGTTTGATGAAACCGGTCA